GTGCTCAACCTAACCTACCTTGCAGGACTGTTGTAGAAGGAACATGGAGGGAGCAAAGGATACCACGGCAAGCTCGTCAGATTCAAACTAAATCAAAACTGTAGTTCACTGAATTCATGTGCAAGGGTACCAGTCCCCACGCGAGCCTGTTTGGCACAGGGGTCCTCCGATGCAGCCTTTCCCAGCCAGGGCCATCCAGATGTGTTGGCCTGCAATGCCCATCATTCCCAGCCTGCGGGACAGCACTGGCTGGGAAAGCTGCGATCCCACAAACGCCCAGCAGATGGCCACCTCTTCTTTCCCTTTGCCTAGGAGGCCAGGCAGACTATTGAGGAGGAGAAGCGGCTTGCACCTGGTGCTGCAGAAAGACCAGACCGGAGAGTTTAGCAGCACCTTGCCAGCTCAGCAAACGCATCCTGGTGTGAGCAGTGACACGTAGCAGTCACTTCACATGGGCAGAGATGTGCAAGCGGGAGAAGCAACCTGAGGCAGCGGAAGGAATTCAAGTCCCGACGGCACAGCCTCGGAAGACGGCCTGCCCCGTGGCCACTCCGAAAGTGTCGGTGGGGAATAAGAGGCGATGCCCAACCAGGTGGGCGACTCAACGCATGCAGCCTGATTCAAGGCCACGAGGAATAGCCGACCTCGGGAGAAATACGGCTGACTGCCCGGGTGAATCGTGCTGCAGCAATTCCGTGTTCCTGCGTGCCTTTGAAATCAATGCCTTTCTTTTGTAAGGACCACCTGGAGCTCACGGACTGGCCATCCTGTCGACCCCATCAGTGACCTCGAATGGCCCAGCGAGACTTTCGGGCTGGCTGGCTGCAGAGGCCTGGTTCTTCTGCAGCAGGCCTTCTCAAGCGGGTGTCCCCCCCAGAGGGGTCAGACTACAGTTTCCATCACCCCAGCCAAACCCCTGCAGGGCTGGTGTCCTTGCTGGACTCTCTTTCTTAAGCTGATCCACCCGGGCAAGCGGAGAATGAAGCCGGAATCTCGTCTGCTTTTCCAGCCGTTTGGTGTTTCCTGTTTCAAAGTCCTTTCTTGAAGTTCAAGTCACTAAACGGGAGATCAAGAGAATGAGGACGCTCAGCGCTCTTTGCATTCACAATGAAATTTGTATTTCAGCTGCTGAACAAGAGCCTTTGACTTGATTCAAGCAATCATTTCGAGGACAAGCAGGTCTGCCGGACTGGATGGCTGCTTTTATGCCATTGTTAGGGTCTTTTAACTGTCTTAAATGCATTTATGATTCTTTCCATCCAGTTTTATGGATGCTTGCACTTAGGAACGCATCCAGGTTTTATGCAAACTGCTTTGGATGCTGTTTATCTTGGGGTGGGGTCCAGGTGAAAGAAACAAAGTTTGATGTGTGTTTACTGTTGGATCTGGGCCTGTTTACTCACAAGAAAGCACCACATCCTCCGGAGTAATACACAGAACACAGTTTTAGAATCAAGAATAGCCAGGCAGTGTTTCCACACTGGTGCGCCACAGAATTTTCCTGTCCATCTATCCCACTTCTGGACAAAGCCCTTACTTGGTTTTGAAATAAAACATTTTTTGGACTTAAGGTGGCATTAATGAGCCTGACAGCCCGAGTTTTCTATCTTGCCAATTTTCTCACTGGGCATAAGGAGCCAAATAATATCTGCTCGGGGTCACGTGGCTGGAAGCAGCCGAGGGACTCCAACCGAAGCATCTTGCATGCCAAAAAAGTGTCCCCCATCATGGAATAAAGATCCCCCCATAGCTATTCTAGCCCCACAGCCAGAGCTCTGGGGATTCTCTTGAAGGGAGGAAATGTCCCCCCAAGGAGATGCCTCGGAGCAGCCCCAACCTGTGGCCCCCCTGCATGGCGCTGGACCTCACCTCCCAAGATCTCCATGCTGGCTGGGGCTCACGGGAGGTGGACTCCAAAAACACCTGCAAGCCACTGGCCACCTGCCCCTCTGTAGACTATGAAAATTCATGCCACAGGAAAGTTAGCCTTCAGCGCTCCTTCGAGAAACGGGTCACTTGCCTTCCCTTTTTAATAGAATTTTTCTTAAGGTGCAGTACAATGAGGATTCCCACAGCCCCCTGAATGAGGAGGGCTATTGGCAGCCTGTTCCAGGTGGTCTTTGCCTTGGCATGTGCCCTGCTCTTCAAGATAGCTAAAAGGCCAGTTTTGGCCCTCAAGATGCAGCCCTAAGCCTAGGCTTGCTCCCCTCCCCACCCCTTTAGCTCCCCTCCCCCTCCCCTAACCTTCTCCAGGGTTTCCCATTAACCCCACTGTAAAGCAGTACGGGCCCCATTTTCCCCATCAGTTGTGAGCTTGGGCAAGGGAGATCCCAGTGAAGTCTTCCTGCTCAGAAGTCACAGCACTTTTCCAGCCTCAGATCTGGGACTCCAGAGAATCCCGTGGGCCCTTAGACCACGGGAATGCAGGGATATAAGAAGAGCCATGCTGGGTTTGATCCCAGGCCCACCTGGCCCACAGGACCCTCCTGCCTAGACAAGAAACACACAGGAGTCATTGGTCCAATAATTCGCTTTCCCGGTTGCACAAGAAAATAGCAACCCCACTTCTGAGTTTATAGAACTCCCTCTCACATGCGGGAGATCGGCTCCCCTAATGATCCAATTGGCATTTTCTTTTATCCAAAACTGGGGGGTTCCCCTGAACTGAACGATAACAAATGAAAAACCGAGTTCCCTCAAGCCTGAGCAAGATAATGCCATCCAACAATTGGTTACTTAAAATGGCTCTGAGGCTGCTTTAGCGAGGTGGGAGCGTCACACGCAGGATCTCTGTTGATGAATTCACAGAGCGGAGGGGTGCTCCCACGACAGGTCTGAAGTCCCCAGCTCCCTGGCAGAAGCCGACCCTCAGCCACACGAAACCCAGCTGATTTGCAGACCCTTGGCCTTTCTCCCGCATCCTTACTTGCTCTGGCTCTCCCAGGCCCCTGGGGAAAACGGCTCTCGTTGTAAGCCGCTCCTGGGTCATCAAAAAGCAATGCAACACGTGACTTTGCTCTGGTGAATGCCCAGCAGTAAACCGGAGGTCAGATGCCAGCCCGGGATCACTTGGCATCAACATACCCACAGCTGTTCCCGCAGCAGAAGCCCGTCCGCTGCTGGCTGCCACCCGAAAGCTCTTGGGACGGCCGCGGCACTGCCGCAGGTCTGCCAGAAGCCAGCATGTCCACCCACCACCAAGGACAAAGTGAACTCAAGCATGTCAGAGAGTCTGGCGGAACCGAAAGGCTAAGACATTTCTTCTGGCAGGAACTTTCGTGGGTGCTGCCTACCTGCTCAGGTGCGTGATGTACGAGCCTCAAATGAGTGAATACCCATGTGAGGCAGGCGAGGTCAGAGGAAAGTGACATGTGGAAAGTACAGATAATTGTAATTTTCTCAAGAGTTGGCCTTTGGAAAGCAACGATGGGTGATTTCATACAGACGACATTACAAAAGTGAGCCAATTATCTTTCGCAGTGTGATTTCAACAGTGACAACGAATGTGTCCTTATTACTTAATAATTGCACTTCAGCCGTCTCGCAGGTATCTGGAATTCCTTTGTTCAAGAATGTCTTGAAGAGCGACATTACAGCCCCATAGGTTTAAATGGTCCTCCACTGATTCCTGAAGCATTCCGGTTGCCAGATTTGTGTGTGTGTCATTTCTGTACGGGCTCGCGTGTGTGTCCTGCGTAGCACGCAGGGCCGCACTGCCGACGTGTGACGGCCGACTGGGAGAGGAGCAGGTGTGCTTACAGGTGGAAAGATGCTTGGAAAGGGAGCCGGAGGGCTTGCTCCTTCCTTCCTTTGCTGAACAGTGTGGTCTTGAGAGAGCCAGGGAGAAGTGTCACGCGTCTTTTTTCGCACAAGGTCTTGGGGAACATGGCCACACATGGGGCCAAATGGATGGGGCCGAAGAGGAGGAGGAGATCCCCACAGATCAAGGTGCTGCATCCCCACGTTCCCCGTTCAGTGGGTAAGACCAGGACTGAGGGTGATTGAGCGAGCAGACCAGTGGATAAACTGGGGTACACGGACGTTAAGCTTCCTTAACTAATGGGGTACTTTTTATGGCTTGGGAATCGTCCTCCCTGGCCTTTGTAACATGGCACGAATCAAAGCCAGCAGGAGGGGCCGAGAGAAATTAGCCAACCGTTCGGGGGCTGAAGCGGCGAGAAGGGAGGTGATGGCGGCAGCCCCTGAAGGTGTCTCAGCCCGGAAAGTTGCGGGGAGAACGGCCTCGCCGCTCTGCGCCAGCATTCGCGGGCCCCCGGCAGGCACGTCCGCCGCGGATCCCCAACGCCCCGACCCGCTGGCCGCCCGGTGCGCCGGGGGCGGCTCTTCGCTTCCCCGCCCGCGAAGCACGGGGGCAGCCTCTGCATCCGCGGGGCGCCCGGTCGGGGAACACGGCCCGCCCGTCCCCCGCGCCGCCGGGGCTGGCTCGCCCCCCCGCCAAGTGGCGCGGGAGCGCACGCGGCATCCCCGCCACGCACCTGCTCGGGCGTCCCCGGTGCGGCGGCGGCCGCGGGGGCGCTCCGCGGGGATGCGCAGGGTGCGCGTCGGCGCGCCAGGACCCTCGGCGGCCCCGCGCGCCGCCCCGATCCGCAATGCAGCAGCGCCGAGGGGGCCCCTCCGGGGCTGCGGCCGTCTCCCCCGCCGCCGCCGCCGCCGCCT